GTGATTCTGTGATTCTGTGATATTGGTCTCACAAACTTACTGTACACTATTTTTGTTACTAATACCGATGTAGGAAAATATCCAAGACCTCATGAATTTGATCCACAGGCATATGAGAAGATATTCAAAAAAAAGTGTAGAAAGAAGATAATACAGTTTGATTCTTAAGATGTAAAGAAGGGCCTGTGAAAACCGAATCTTTTCTTCTCTCCCCTGCCCTTTATGCTACACTAGTTAACCTAATAAGAGATATTACCTCTATCTTCAAACCTGCTTCTACCCTCTAGAAGCCATGGATGACTTCCCAATATCTTAATGGAAATGAGCACCAAATATGATTTCCAGGATTCTCTGCATAAAAGCAAGAATGGCTATCTGAACATGAGGAAGAATGGCTTTTATGGTACATTCAGCGGCTGCAACTGTTTAAACTTACGGCTGAAATGAAAAAGTTATCAGACCTGTAGCCCTTGATGCATTTTGCCCCATCTACAACTTAAGCACCAAGAATCACCAAACCAAGGATATTCTGAATTCTTTTCAGGAACTTGGGTCTGTTTTTTCTGTCATTTTTCAAGTGCCTGGATTCTGACCTGCTCAAGACAGAAGCTATAATCCCAGAGTTAGTTAGTGGCTTTGACCTTTACAGACTCCTTTATGAAAACTTTCTGTAATAAGCTCTTGCTTGCCATGGCCTGAACGGGAGGTGGAACCTTTGAAATTGATTTTGAACAGCAGGCATGCTGGTCAGAGATCAGCATCTTGTTCTGCCAGACTGCACAACATCTCAAACCATTTTCTTGTCCGTTTCTAAAAGATTCCTATCAATTGAAGCTGTGTGAAACTGTAAAATAATAATAAATACTTTTCTAAGCTACAGATTTTCTCAGTGAACATTATTTCGTTATGATTAGCTACTACTGGTTGGTGAGAAATGATAGAAAAAAATGAAAGAAATTAGATATATAGTGACTAGACTAAAATGAAAATTCTGAGCTTCTCTGATTTACAAAAATTGGATTAAAATGTAGAACTGCACTAGTTACTGTGATCTTGATATTCCAGTATCATATTGGGTGGGAGAAATTTGTACCTCTATAGATATCTGCATCTATATAAATATTTAAAAAACTATTTAACAGTTTCTCCTTGGAACTCATGGTAAAAAGGAGTGTTTTTCCAGGAAGTACAGGACTTAAATGAGAACATAATGTTAAGCTTTAAAATTAGAGGGATATATACTGGTTTGGTTTATACTAATTTTACAGAGGTGTATTCCTGTTAACTTCAGGGCAGGTACTTTTCTTTGCATTAGTTTAAGTAAGCTTGGAATCAAGCTGAAAGCCTTTAATGAGGTTTTAACGGTCCACTTGGGGGAGCTAAAGGGTAATTTGTTTCTGAGTTGATTATAGGAAAATATTTAGGATGCAAAATTAATTTACGGTAGACAATGTGAACAGAGGGTTCCAGTTTGTCCAACTCTGTACTGGTTGTTAATCTGTACAAGCTTCTGGTGCAAAGGGTCCTCAGTTCTTACGAAAATTCTAACCCCTTAGAGAAAAAAAGTCACTGTTATAAATAGCTTAGCAGCTGATGCCCAGAATAGCATTAATCATCTCCTAACTTAAATATGTACCTACAACATACCTTTAATGCAACAGGCATAATACTTGAAGCAGAGTTTTGTCCTTGCTCTGAGCTGTTTTCATGCTAGTTAATCTTAACTGTAATGTGATGATAAGAAACTCCAACAAACAATAGTTTTGTCTTTCACTTAATGAAACAGTTCTTTCATTTAAGCTGTGGTCTTAGGCTCTACCTGCTTGTGTCATGTGCACCTGCTACAGTGTTGGAACATGGCTCTGCACCATCTTTATGTTCTCCATATCTCTAGCTGTGGCATGCTGGGAAGTGGGAACTGTTCCCCTGTGTAAAATTGCATCAGCTGCTCTATCTTATACTTGATTGTCTCTGGGTACTGGTAGCCCTTTGAGCACTCTGGCAGCCAGGCAGTAACGATGGTTAGAGGCAGAGATGCAATATCTTCTGTATCAGAAGGAAGAGCACACTTTTTTGTCTATGAGGAACCAAGAAAGTATGACATCGAGCATTTTGCCATGTAGGGATTGCCCTAAAGAGCAGATAAGATGACAACATGGTGGCCTAAAGGCCAGATAAGCTGACTATGCAGGCAATTTGAAAAGCAGATCCAAGGATATAACCATGTATCTTTTTTAAGAGAAAACAACTCAGTTGTAGACACTTAAGTTGTAAGAAAACTCTTTTGGTAAAGCTGTACTGTTAATGTATTATCTGTAATAGTGTAAAATTCATCTTATTCCAAATTAATATGCAGTGTAGTCCATATTAAAATTTACAGTAGCCCATAATTTAGGTGTTTTATTTAACTGACTCATGTAAATAAAATTTCAATCAAAAGTGATAACGAAAATGTTTTGGTTCTTTAATATACCTTCTTGATTATATTTAAGGTTTCTTAATTTTGTGTTTAATTTAGCCAGAGTATATGGAAAAAGTAAATTGTAAGTGTCTTTATAGCAAGTACCGCTTTTATGCACTTTAAAAACTAAGACTTAACATTCTGCAGTTAACAACTACAAAAATATTTTTAAAATGTCATTCAGAAGCCTGAAAGCAGACACAGTCAAGATGATTAAATAACATGCTAAAGACAATGGCAAAGCAAACGGAAACAAAGCTTACAGTCAGCCTAGGTATAAGTATAAAAGCTCTAATCATTAGCAGTACTTGCTGTAACCATTAACAGTACTTGACGACAGTATTTCAAATGCAATTTCTTTTGTGCTTTCCCTTTGGCATGTAAAGACGTGCTACAATATATTTAAGAGGATCTACTGCCATAAATTGATCAACTTACATTAATTAATTCGATCTCCCAGATTTTTTTTACGAGGTCCATCGATGTATAGCCATTAATTAGAAAGGATTTGGTATAGTCACCCAGTTCAATGGAATCCAGCCATTCAGCTACAGAGGTGGGGTTGTAGCCATCATGACCGATCTGCTTCATCTGCAAAACAAGAAGGAGTAAGAATTATTGATAATACTCATTATATATCTTTCAGAACAGCAGTTAATTATACTGTTCTCTGTGGGTCAGAGTTATCGTATTCTCTGACCAATATTATTTCAAGGATGAGTACAACATGAAGAAACAATTTTGTGAGCAAAAGCACTAACAAAATTTAGTTTCCAATGAATTTTTGTCTCATGGCTGCTTGCCTTTTAAACCAGAGTATATTAAGGTTGCAGCCTGAGCTCACTTCTTACTAGACATAAGAGAATCCATACGCGCAACAGAGCAAAAGAGAGGATTATTATTTTAATAATATCCTGACTGTACAAAAAAAGTCAGATTTGCACCTAGGATTTCATAAAAGGGGGAGAACTTAGACGGAGGAAGTGGATCCTTTGATACCAAGCTCCAGCGGAAACATGTTCCCTTGATTACTTTATTCCTAATCTCCTAGATGGTTATCTGATATCTTATAATGGTTGAAGTTACACTGTACTTTTCCCCCTAGAAGAGGTTTAAAATGTTCTCTCTCCTCTACCTGGTCACCTTTCTCATGGAACTCCTGGGAATTTAATGTTGTTTAGATTGGTCTCTGTCTGTAAAGTTGATTGACACTAGGCAATAGATCCAAATATTATTGGAATCAAAATTGACAGAATGATGAACAGAGAAGCACCACATACCTTTATAAAGCAACACAGGCACACAAAGCATAATCACATAAATCTTGTTTTTATAACAAACGAAGAAATATCACTCGCATTTTATTTTTCTGAATTCTGTTAAGCTAGTAAGAAGCAAAGAGCTGCAATTTCTCTTTCATAATTGCCTCTCAGTGACATAAGTGAAGATTTTCAAGTTAGCTATAAAAGATAAATATGTTTAAAGCCTCTGCTTGTTTAGCTATTTATGACATAATGTTTTTATGAAATTTAAAGTAATATGCAATGGTGGCACAAGAAAGTAGAAAAAGTTATGCAATATCCTCAGTGTTCAACAATATTATATGCATAACATCTTTGTATAGAAATGTAACTATTGCTAGCTTGATAACATACTGAAGTGGTAAACTTTTTAAGAAGGTTTAGAGGTTTAGAAGACCTTGTATTTTGCACAGAAACTCCAGCATGCGAAAGAATAATACTGTGCATGGTGAAAGCCAATTCCCATTTTTGCCTGCTTATATGCATTCTTACTTTCTGAGAACATAGGAAGCGTGACAGAAGCACAATGCTCAGAGCTTGTTTGAAGTAATTTAAAAAGAAGACAATTCTGATCTTAAAATCTTGCCTGAGCCAACTTATTTCTCAGTTAATTTGAAATGCATTTTGAATTCAAAACAGAAAAAAAAAGCCATTTGAAAGCCAAAGTAACGTTAATTGAAATATATAGCACTGTCTGTTCAAATGCAAAAAGCTAACATGTCATGACAAAGATCTTGGTTTGCTGCATATCAGAGAGGAGCACACAGAACTAGGCACACTGCATCATGGATCTGAGAGTTTAATCTTTGGTTGCAGATGCTGGATATTAATGGAAATATTTAAACGATGCAGTGAAATCATTGACTGAAATCATAAAAGAGTGCCTAGAGAATTCATATAATCAAAAATGGGATTTTTAGCCTTTCAGGTCACTTCTGTAACAAAGGAGTCATATTAGAAAGTGAGATTTAATATACAGCAATTGAGTTATGACAGTATTGTAATGAATTCAGTTTTGTTGCAGATCTTGACGTTTTGGAATTTAGTTTCATTCTGATTTAGAATGGAAGCCCTGGATGTCAAAATCATGGCACATTCTTCTCTCATTGTCAGTCAGATTTATTTCAAATTTTAGATTTACAGTAGTCTGTCCAATAGACAGAAAAGCTGAGAACCCTGGTAGCTCTGATTCCAAAGAAGCTTGCTTTGAGAGCTGATTTGAAACCAGGTATGCTTGAAAGACTTGAAAAGAAAGGACCTGATACACAGAAAAAGAAAAATTTAGTAAAGAGAAGACATTTAAGCAGATGCACATGGCCCACAGAGAATGCATGGCTTTTGAAAGATACAAGGTATTTTTGTTTCCTTTCCCTAATAAAGCAAAGGGAAGCACACTTCAAATACACTTTTCAAAGTATTCAGATGGGGATTGTTATGCAAATTCTTTCTTTTGTTTATTATCATTTGATCTTTATGTTTAATTAATCTTGATTTTTAACATGAATTTTCTTTTGACCTGCTGATTGAGAGATTTCATGCAGATTGGTCCAAAATGCTGGCAACCCATCAGTCTCTATGTAAAGCGAACAAAACTTGGGAAGTCGCTGAATTCTCAAATCCCACCAGCAGTCTCAGTCAGAAGAGCTGTTAAAATAGAGATCTTTCCTATTACAGTGTCTTGCAAAGGGTTGCAGGCAAGCAAATACAGAAGGAAAAATCAAATAAATGAAAGGCTGAGAACAGCTGAAATGTATGTGACAATTTCACTCTTTGAATTTGGTGCCATCAGATAAAATGGTCACTGAGTCACTCAGTAGCCTATATGAAGGGTTTAGTATACGATAGCCTATTTTCCGGGACCTGAAGCTCCGGGACCACAGGCTCTGCAAGCTCTTCCCTCTCACTGGTCCCAAAGATTTGGCTGCCTGTGTTCAAGGCCAAGTTCAGTATGATGCAGCTGTGTAACCTTGGATCAGACTCGTGTGAGAAAGAGCTGTGAGACCCCTTGTTGGTGCCTCCCCACCTTGGCTTAGGAGCTGCAGTGAAGCTTAGGCCCTAGTCCTTCATCCTTGCCAGAGCTCCACTGTAGGTACACCTGGGCCTGGCCATGTACCTTGCTGATTCTGGCCCACTGACAGGACTTTCCAGCTCCACCGTGGCCTTGCCTCAGCCCTATGGACGAGCCAGGCTGTTACCAGGCTGTGGCTGACCCTGGGCGCTGTCACTCACCCTGCGCTGCTCTGCTCTCCTCCCTTCGTGCAGGTCTCCAGGGGCTGCACCTTGTTGGAGACACTACCGTCCGGCTGGCCCTGCTGCCGCCCCAGCTCCCAGACCACCTTCCCTGGCAGAGCAGTCCGCTCTGGCTGCTCCCTGACACTGACAATGTCAGAACTAGAATATTTGCTGGTAGTTTCAGCAGAAAAGCAGTATTTGGCTTTGACGTGAACCAAAATCCAATCTCTTGTTTAAAATAGATTTTCTAAAATGTGCCTAATACATAAAAAAATAATAACTTTTCAGTATTGTACCCGTGTATGAAAAGTTTTGTTATGTCTGTTAATAATATCAGGTAGCTTATTAAATAATTTATAGCTGGTTGAATTTTTTTTTCTTTGAAATATTTGTTGATAGACAGATTGGTTATCTAGTCATGAGAGTATCATTCATAGTATCTGCTTTTCATATAAAATTTTATGGAGTTTTAAAATAAAAAAACACTTGAAAACTGAAACATATGTCTGGAAATCCTGCCCCTTTACATTATTAGAGCTGCAGTTTAGTTGCATATTATTGCTGTCCTCACTAACAGGTCCTTAGACTACTCACAGATCATTTAAACTCTGTAGGCTTCTTTGCTGATGCTGTTTGCTCATTGATTTATTTTTTGAAAGAAAAAAAAAATCTTATCTACTGACTGCATTTCCATTTAACCAGTTCAGAACAGGTATACATGCACCAGTGGTGTCAAACATCTAAGCCTGTTCATATTGTTTGAATTAACAGTATAAAAACTGTAAGCATCAAGCCATTACTTTTGCAAATATAACCTTTCAGGTACTAACCGATCGTTAATAGGGGCAGTACTGTTCTTCTGCAGGCACTGCTACTAGTTCCTTAGGTTGTTATCTTTAAACAATAGTGCCAGTGTTAGTGGTTTCATTACTGATGATTGTAGCATGCTGAGTGTGGGAAGGCTAGGAGTGAAGCTGACAGGATTCAGAAGTGATTGATAGAGAAAAAGAAGTGACTGCTGGAACCTCTTCTGCTCTTCCTATGACTGCAAGTGTTGTGTCTGCCTATTTCGTTAGGCCACACTGGCCAGTTTCTGTCATTGTCAGTCCATGGTTTCCTCAGGGAAATGTTTATGTCTCTAGGAAGTAAGTTATGAGGACTTTTAGCTTTTGTATAATGCTGGATGAGGGTGAGTGGGTGAGTAAAAGGTGTGGGGCAACTGAGTGGTAGCCCTGGTGGTCTACAGCTACCCTGGGACAGGTTCCAGATGAGACTGTAAATTTCATTAGTGGCTCTTATGGAGTTTAGGACCACGTGAAGGGTGAAGGCCTAGAGTAAAGAAGTCACACCAGTAAAGACTCCTAGAAAGTAGTCGTCCATATCTTGTTTCTCAGACAAAAGGATGTGTAGGAAATCCAAGTCAGTTCATTTGGGATGTTGTCCTTGTGGAGCTGCCATAGAAAGATAATACTACTCCCTCTCATACAGCATATTTGCTTGCCTTATGACTAACCTCAGAGTGGGCGGTGGGCAATACAGAGTCAATCACAGATAAGAAGTTATAAAAGAAGCAGGAACAGAAATAACGCTCATTATGTGGGCAATAGCGGCAGGACCAGTGACATACTACTGTTGCCTACATGAGGCAGATAAATGACAGCATTCTAGAGGGATAGGCTGATAGGCTCAGTTAAGAAAGAAAAGTTTTGTGGGACTGCTTTCATCAGACAGCTTTGAAGCACATGCATAGAAGGGACATTCGGTCTATGGGACCAGACTAAAGCTACTCTGAAGTAAACCCCTTGAACTATAGCATGGATGTAACTAACTGCCTTGTTCTACAGATCCATTCCCTATTGTGCCACATAACCTGCTAATGTAGACTATGGTTTTGTGTTTCATAGTTGAAAAACTTAGTTACTCGTGTTCTGCAGTACTCTAATGCTTGTTTCTGTTCTTAAGGTTGAAGGTTTTATGTGCAGTGTAATGAGGAGGTGAGTGAGTGACTTTCTTCCAAGCCAGCAATGTAAAGCCCAGAGATATCCGAAGGAGGAAAAACAGCAGGGTAGGAAGCACTTCCCTTGAATCCTATTTTTCTCACCTTCAGTTCCAGCACACCTGAACCAAGGGTCCATAGCCAGAAAGGGTCATAAATGATATCCACTTTGCAACATCTCCTAGTTTGGTTGCTGTTTTTAGCACCAGAAGTTGTAATGCTGTACCTGTTAGCTGTGCTAAATGGTTGAAAATTAAACATCAGGATTCAAAACAGACAGCTTGTTAAGCTCTAGCATGTCTAAACCAATAGCAACATAGCAATAGCAAATATATGATTTTGTCCTTCTCTGCTACTTACAGAGCATAGTTAGTGTGCACATGCACAATAGTTCTGTTTTCCTAAATGCCAGATTTACTGTGCTTGCACAGGAGACAGTGTTATATGAGTAACAGATCCAGCACTTCTTGGAAACACAGCTTTACTGCTCATGTAACGCTGCTCACAAAGAGCATGTGCTCATTCCCTCTTCTTGTCCTACTTCTCGTCTGGTTCTGCAAAGCACCCAGGAAAGAAGCTGGCTGCCTGCAGGCCCCTGCTACAAGATTCCCAGACATGCTCTGTGCCTGAAACCTCTCGATGCAGCAAGAAACAAGTTGCATACTGTAAGAATAGCTCTGAAGCCAAGAGAAAGCTTCTTTCCACTAACATCTTTCTTCCATCTGTCAAATGCGAGAATGTGTTCCCGTTTATGGGCTGGGAGAAGAAGCCATGCATGCACTGAGCGTCCTGCAGGAAAACAATTTTTTTAAATCAAAGTCCTGAGATAAGCTAGGATAATTACTTTCAAAAACACTTCAGCCTCTTAGGGACCCATGGAGAAGTCACCTGCTCACAGGCTTTGGGTAACTTGAAAGTGCTCCTTATGTTCCTGTGTTGCTTAGGCACGGCCAAAACATTACACTGTAACTGATATTATTTATAGTCAATTAAGCATATCCCACACACAATTCCTTCATATTCATTTTTTCCTCAAGTTCTTGTACTCTCAACTTCAGGGGTTTCTTTTAAGATATTTTCTCTAGCCCCATACGTGCGTTTGAACTTCCTCATGCCAATACATATAAAATCTCTCTCCAAATACTTACTCACTTCATTCTGTTCACGGAAAAAATCCTAAATGCAATATCAAACTTTGCTAAGAAATTCACTCTGAAACTGAAGTCATGCATGAAATATTTCCATTTTAAGAATTAACTTTACAAATGATATTTCTACTGCAGTCTTAACCTTATCTAATAATAATAAGCCATAAAGTGCTCTCATTAATATTCATGTGAAACTTGAATAACTTAAATTGTATTAGTGTGAGACGAGAATTTGGGCTACTAGCTTTAATCTAACAAAAATAAAGGATATTATAAAAATGGGAAATCTAATTGAAAGATTCTAAGTGTATCTATCTGTTAGAACCATACTGGTTTACCCTTTCATGAAATTTTCTCCTTAAATACATAATCATTGAGGGAAAATACTATATTTTGAGGAATCTGGGTCAAATGTACCTTTTTATACTGTTTAAACACTACATAAGAAAATACAGTGGTTAATTCATCTATATTTGAAAAATATGCATTTTTTTCCTATTTAAAATTACTGCAAGCTCCAGAAACCTCCTAAACATGCCACTGGTGTTTGAAATACAGAAATATCATTACTCTTTAGGAAGCCAGCATTTATGAGTGAGAAAAGGTAGTCTTTTCTTTCAATCACTAAATGCCTGTTGCATTTTCAGTGTAGAAATGAAGATTGATGAGAATAACAAAACAAGTTTTAAAAATCAGTATTTTAAAATATTAACAATAGATTTGTTACTTGATTTTTACCTTCTAAGCCTATTCAGTGCTGCCTGAGTTAAAAAAGTATCACAAGACAGGAAATATTAATTGTAAAACTAAAAATAATAGCATTAGCAATATCACTACTAAAACACAAGTTATCATCAAGTTTTAAATTAAATCAGGAATAGGAAATACATTTTCAAAACAAACTAACTGAAAGAATTCTTATCTAATGAGACTCAAATTATGGTTTGAGATCTTAAAATACTCAGAAGGTATGCAGTATTTTGAGTGTATGATGACTGAGCTGAACTTATCAACAAGCTAACAGATATACAAAAACGTTTCATGGTTCCTTGCAGGATGTGAAAGGTTTTTTAGATTTTCAGCAAGCTGTTGTGACAAAACAAGGGTGAGCTGCATCAGATAAAAGTTGCCATAATCCCAGTCTGTGGACACTATAACTGTTCCAACAGCTGTGCCTTCAAAAGAACTAGATTTAGATTAGGAAATTATGTACTTTTAGTATGTAAGCTCTCTTGTGGTGCTGAGTCATTTAAGTGAAGAAATGTGATGCACAGTTTCAGCTTGCAACTGCCTTTGGTTTGGTATAACATTCTTGCATCAAAGACGCATTAGAAACTCGCTCCTTAAGGACTGTTTTCTCTAACTCAACAGGGAAGCCTCTAAAGACTACCTCACTGTTATTCAGCCCATGCTTCAAGCCCTTCTGTGTTACTTAATTATCTTTGGTTTAGGAAATGCTGATTCTTCCAAGTAACTGCATAACCAGCTTGTTCTCAGGTGGTTTCAGGAGCGTCTCTAGATCTTGACTCTGTCACCCTTTCTCATATTAAGTATTTTTTAAAAAGAAGACCTCAGCTGGAGTTCTGTGACAGAATCTGGCTTTCAGCACCAGTATACTCTCCAAAACCAGGCCTTATTAACAATATTTTCACAAGCACCAGTTATTGAATGCAGATATCAATAAAATTATGATACATTAAAAAGTCACTCAGTATGCTGAACAATTTAAGCAGGAATAAAAAATCTAATCTCTTTAAGAAGCAAGGAAAACAGAAAAATATTTCATCAGCTAAGATTAAGATTACCAACTCTCATTTAAATCATACCACTGCTGAAAAATTCCTAAATTCATAGGTAAACTTTAAGTATTCATTGTAATTCATCAAATACTATTTTTATATACCCTACTACTTGTACCATTTATCTCACTTGTCTAATAAGGTATTTGGAATATTACTGTCCTTAATCATCTTTGTTGTACGGACTCTTTTCAGTGTACAGATTCATACTGTGCTATATAAAAACTGACTAGCCTTTGCAGATGCCAAAGTAGTTCACCCTGTTCTCTTTCACAAATGATCCATCAGAACTTATCGAGTAAGCCACAATGCGTTAGAAAGCTTCATTCAGCAAAAAGTCCTTTAATTGTCTTCCCATTCTCCAGCATTATCAAACACTGCTCCACACTGCATCCAAACACTAGAGCATTGACACACTTTATATCAAGTTTGATTCCTGCCCCAATATCTTGCACTGAGTCATTATCTGCGGCACGTCTGGCAGCCTTCTGAGCCTTAGTGGTGTCTACTTTTCTTCCTTCATTCTCTTTACACAGCTTCCCAAAATGAAGTAGTAAGTTTTCATGCTAGGTCCAGTATCTCTCTTCTTTGTCTATTTAGATTTTTGTATTTTGGAATGCTAGCAGAAGCCTCCACCGATACATTCTGGTATGCAAAATACAAGAATCATTCCTTTATATGCCTGATTTTATAATCTGTAGTTTAAATCAGCTAGCACCAAAAAAAAGATCATAAAAGTGACTGCAAGCTATTCCATCCACAGCTGAGAAGCAAAATTCACATACATAGCAGCAAATCAAATGTCCTAAAATCATACATGAAAGGCATTTATCAGAAAAATGATGTTTTATGCAAGGCTTTTAAGAATTCTTACACAATTCTTGTTCCAAAGGGCAAAGTATTTCCTAGCTAAATGCTATTTAAAGATAAACATCTGGGATTCATTGATAGCCTTCTTTATACATGTGCATGGACAGAATCTGTAAACAGACTGAAAAGCCAAAAATAATTACAGCAAATTCTAAAAAAAAAACATTTCAAATTAGAGAATTGACTCTCCTTTGCTTTATTTGTCTGTTGCATCTATACAAAGTGGGTTCAATGCAGTGACATAACTCTATATCAAATTTGCACATGTGAAAAAAAGTCTACAAAAATAGTAGAGTTTATCTCCATTCATGAAGAGTGTTTTAAACAAAAAAAAAATCTAGGTGTTAGTTCTCTCATTTGGATAATAACAGAAACTATACCTTTGGGAGAAGCTGGATTGCTTGTAGAATTCTCTGTCTGTGTCCAGAGTTAAGTATTCCTATTTCCAATAGATCCTGATCCTCCATTACATTGCTTCCCTAAAAAAAAAAAAGATAACATAAAAATGAAAAATAACAGATGCCTTCCATAGCCTGAAACAAGCCCTTCTGTTGTGTTTAAAAAAGAACATTTTGCTTAACATACAGTATCTGACAAGAATCATAAATTACTGATGATTGCAGTGATTTTCACGTTGTACAAAATGTGGAAGGCGCTTGAACTCATGGACAATTACTTATATTGCTGGCAGCACTGCCAGTGGAGAAGCAGTAGCTCCCACTCAAATCAAATACCAGATGTGAAACCTTCTTTCATTCGACTGAGACCAAGGACACGGCTATAGAAACATTCATAAACTCTTCATTTTTTCCTTCTCCTCCTACCCCATCCAGCTACACATTATGTTCATTTTTCTCCAGGCTGGATGATACATAACATATAATAAGATCACCAGAGTGGATGAGGATAAAATTTTTTAGTACCTTGTTAGTAAAATGCTAGAGGCAAAGAGGTCAAGCGGTATCCACAAACACCATACAACCCCCATCCCCTTGAATTGAACTGTACAAGTGCTGCCCTAACTTTACCCTGTCATTGCTTTTATCTCCTTGCTTGCAGGCAGGTCAAAGAATTCCTAATACACAAACAGCAGAAGAAGACCATCTGTTCAAACTATCAGGCCACAAAAAAAGCCTCTACAATTCAAGCCTCTATTCTCAGGAGCTGGTAGCAGCAGGAGATGACCTACAGCCACGCATATAAGAGGATAATGTGAATCATAAGAGATGATTCTGATATACATACAAAGAGTGGGCAATACAGGTGGAAGTTCAAGGAGTTTGACACCACTGGTAAATTCAGCATTTAAAGGTTAAAGTATTTGATTACCTAGCAGTGACTACTGGGAATCACAGGAGGCAGCCAGTACTTCACAAAGTGAATTACAGTTAGGGATCAAATTAAGATGGTTTAAACTAGGCTGGAAACTTTTTAGACTAGCTCATTTCAGACAAAAGCTCAGTTTTCTTTTAAAAGCTTCTAATTACGATAGTTGTGAAGAAAACCTGCAAAAAACAAGGAGCTCTGAACTCTTACTTTGGAGACTTATGACTGTAATTTGCTGAAACCAAGACTTTTTATTATTTGTACTCATATAACCACCATTAAATAGGATTTATGTCACAATAAATATCCTATTTATGTCAAATAGGATTTATGTCCACAAAAAACTTCATGTCCACCTTTCCATTTAGCTTTCTGCATCTGACTCAGTAGAGCTTTTAAGCAGCAGAGAAATCTGGAGATATGTGCATAACAGAACATGCTGAAATACTTTGTTGAATCAGGGCCTAAAAACGGATATGAATTCTTTCTGAATATCAGATCTCCCTGTCCCACAGCAACATGGCTTTCTTTCAGAAGGCACACTGAAATAACCAACACTTCATCCTGTTCAGCTGCTAAATCTTCACTCTTTTCAGACGGACTGATTAGTGTACAGATGTACTCTTGAGGACTCTCAAGTACTACTCTGCAGTGTATCCTGCAAAATCTAAGGGAGGTCTTTTTAAGGCAATCATGGAAACTTTACAAAGCTATTACATTTAAAAATATATTTCACAGTAAGTGGTATGATTTAAGACTACAAGCCTGCAAATCATATCCTGAAAGAATTTGTGTGCAGCATTTAGAATAGGGGCAGGCAGAGCCCTACTCTAAAGGGAGAAGCTGTGCAGCCATGTAGTTTTAAGAGGATCATGTGGTGTAAGAGTGCATGCAGCACAGGCTGTACAAACAGTGATACAATGAGGTGCTGTTAGTGCCCCATTCATCTCCCTGGTAAGCACATACAAAATGTCATTTCTCCTTTTCTTTCTTCTGCTATTAAATAAACCTAGAAGAATCTGTAAACTTATGGAAAGACTTGGGAAAAAAATCCTGCATTTTTTGCTGAATTCTCCAGCTACAAGAAACAGCTACCAAGCCAACTGAGGATAAACCAAGATATACCAAGCCAACTGAGGATCTGGTCCAAACTAAGGGCTGCATGTTTTCGTTCATTTTAATAAATGGATTTATTGTTTGTTTGCAGCTATCGCTTTCACTTCATTGAGCTAATTTTACAGATTTCACCCTTGGTCTCTCCCTGATGTTTACGAACAGTCATGGTATACTCATCACTGAGCTGCTATGAGTGTCAGTAACCTTGGCATCCACCTTCGAATGTTGAAATGTCTAAAGCTCAATTCAACAAACAATTAGGCATGGGAAATAGCCATCTTTTTTCAAAAAGCTGCAGCTTTTGAAATAGCATCATTTTGTTAATTCTTTACTATTGCTTTTTCCACAGCCTTTGGCTCATATATTTTGCTTCTTTGAAGTTGGTATTACCTTTTTTAAAGTCTGTCAAGGCTACAAAATCAAATATTTAAAACTCAGGAAAGTCTAGAATTCACATTGCTTTCTTGTTTCCAATCTGAGAAGGCAAGAACCTGGTCTTTCCATGTGCTGAGGCTTTGTAGTTTTTCCTGCATATCACCATCAATGTCAACAGTAGCAGCCGCTCATCCCTCCTACAAAGCAGACCTTACTGTCTCCTGCCATGGAACTATATTAGCTCTTCGTCTTTCCATGAGAGCAAACCAGGGAACTTCAGCTACCCACTATAATCCTCTATTGCTTAACCTAGTGGAGTAAACTGATAGCAGTAGAAAGCTGCCGTCTGCTTTGCGTACAAGGCTGTGGGGCTGCAGAAAGAGTCCCCCTTGTTCCTTTCCTCCTGGTTTCTGCTCCCATTCACCAATCCCAGTTCCCGATTCTTGTTTTTACCTGATTCCCTTTCCTGCTTCTCCTCCAGTCTAGCTCCACGGAAAGCCTCATTTCTTTCTTTTCTGCCATGGCAGACCAGAGACAAGAGGAGAAACTGTCTCCCTGCTTTCAGCTCCTGAGCACACATTTATTATAAGTTGGGCCAAATTTAACCTCAATTAACTTTACAGAGATGACAAGGCAAATGTAATTAAAATGAATACAATAATGACTTTTCCCATAATTTCAGTCTTGAAAGTAGCTGAGCCATGTTAGCAGAAATGTTCACCAAAAAGAAATTATTCTAGCAGACACCTGGAGAATTTCAGTGTAAAGGTTTATCTTTGATATGCTTATATACAACATAAAACAGGATCATATAACAGAAAATATGGGACAGCAATCTCTACTGGGGTTATTATGTTTTTATATAACGAAAACATAAGAGGCTTTGTGATATTACAGCTTTCTTAAGTATATAGGACAACTTAGTTTGAAGGAAAACTTCTCAAAATTAAAGGAATAAGAATATATCAAAACTACTTGTACTAGGACAGATTCAGATCTCATTCAATTCAGTTTACTCTGCTGAAATTCCACTCATGTTGATGTTTAAGGGATAGTCTTAGGTATGAATTAGAAAGATTCTGGTTCTGAAGCACAAGTTACGAAAGGATATAGATGACCCTCCCTTGACTTTGTGGTCCTGCATACATCTCAATAATATCATGCTTTTTTCCATAAATACATTTAGGAAGCTGGTCTTCTGAATAAGAAGGTAACAGTTTCACAGAAGAGTTGAACTCAGGAATAATAGAAAAACGACTCTGAAAGTGGGAGCATGGGGGCCATCTGAAAACCCAGACATTTTTCCAAAATCTGAGATAGTTCCTATAAATAAGTTCAGAGCAAAAGACACAATGAAAGATTTTATTGGCATTAATTTGGGATGTTCCACATAGCATTACCTCTGGCACTCTCTACCTAAAGTTAACATAGCCTCTCAAAGAAATGTTGGGTTAAACCTTTATACCAGATTCCAAATACATCTAGGTAGGTATTTATACTTTTATACGTTATAAAGGATCTTTATAAAACAATCTGAAATATGTCAGATGTATAGTAACAGAAGCACTAACTCTATTAGAAATAGACTAATTTGAATACATTAAACAGCTCAAAGAACTTCTAAAATCCAAAGCAAAATATTCATAAACTTGTAGACAACTTCATTTAATATCAACAAAGAACAACTTTCAAGATTCTTTGAAAAAGAGACCAATATGTGTTCTATATCCTGTTGGAACAAATGCACTTTGAAGATTTGTCCGTGAAGATATTAAAATATGGTGATTAGAAGAACATATTAGGATGGCAGGCATGAGTGCATGTATCTCGTTGCTCCCTTTTTGTACCTACATCTTTAATCTTCCTTCATATATTATCTCTGCTGGAGACCTATAGTGAAAAATTCCTGTGTCTGGTTCTATCATCTAAGTAAAATAAAAATGGTAGATAAACTTTCAAAACAGCTGCTAGATACATCACTAGACTCATCTGAACACTCAAGCATTACGGTTGGAAGAGAGAAGGTTTGGGGAAAAAAACACCTGCATATGCTTTTTGGGCTTACTCTCGCTCTTCACCTTGGCTAATAGACTTAAAATTTGATAAAGGTTGGGGAGAGGTTTCTTAGGTTTTTATTATAATCAAAGCTCTGGAAAAAAATCTCAGTGAGGATATAAATGCATATGAATCATTTTGTGAAAAGTGAGTAAAAGCTGACTGAAAAATAAGAGAAAGAACAAATTAATTTTGCATTTGAGGCTTTTTTCTCCATTATGAAACAAAAGATCATATGATAAGAAATATAAGATTTGGGTGAGTTTTGGCTGTAGACTGACCACCCCAACTAGATCAGCTTTTTGCTATGTTCAACTATATCAGCTGGAGGGGAAAAAGGAGTGAATCTGGTACCTAAAGCCGTATAGGCTTTATAAGAGCTTCTTCCCACCAGGGTGAATTCATTTGCTGTGCAGGCATTATTGAGACTGAGTTTAGTGGCAACAACCGCCAGTAGCTTTGCTATGCTTTTGGTGTATCAGAAAGTTGTTTCCCCAAGATCGTGGCTGTTATGGATCAGGGGATGATAGCTTCTGAGGTGAGTGTAGTGTTGACGGGGCGCAGTGGTGGATGCATCCCTCCCATTGCTTGAGGAGCTGTATACTTT